AAGAGAATATATAATAAATATATAATAAAAATTGTTAATAAAATTTGACTAATAAAAATTGCCTAATAAAATATATAATCTAAATAAATTTAACTAATAAAATTTACTAATATAACAATATATATAGTAGTAGTAATTTATTAATATATATAAATTAAATATATCAGTATTATTAATATTATTATTATTACCAATTTTAATAGTATTATTAATATTATCAACATCATCAGTTTTACTAGCATTTTTATATTACTAGTATTATCAATATTACTAGTTTTACTAGTTTTATTAGCATCACTAATATTATCAAAATTATTAATTACTTTAATTCTACTAGTTTTACTAACATTACTAGTTTTATCAGTTTCACTAATTTTATTAATTTGGCTAGTTTTATTAATATTAATTAGTAATTAGTACTGTACAGTGCGGCTATAATACCCCGAATATGATACATTCTATGGCTAAAATCCAAGTTAGTACCCGGATATTATATAAGAGGTGTATTTAATATAGAAATGATATATACTACATAGTTAATACCTGAGTATTTCACTCTGTAAAGTACCCAGGTATCTTGCATTCAATGGCAAAAAATTTTTATAGGGGATACTTTGATGTGAGGGGGTACTATGGTCTACACTGTACGGTAATTAATGTTACAAATTAAACAAAATCTGATCAAAATGAAATTTTCTATTTTTTAAAGAAAATTTAAAATTTTTTAGAAAACATTTTTTGGAGTTTTTTTTAGTATTAGAGATAGAGTTTAGAATTAGGATTATTAATAAATGAATATATATAGGTTTTATAGGCTCTAAGAGTAGATATGAGATGTTATTTAACTGACAGAATACTATAAATCTTTTTTTATTTTAATTCTATACACATTCATACAATTAAGATAAAAAAAAACTTTTATTAAATTTTGTCTAATGGTTATTAAGAAAAGTTTAGAAAAATCTGTTTTGTCTATCAGTAAATTAAGTACTTTTAAATTTTTTTAAAACTTTGAGCAAAAAATTTTCTCACTATCTGACTAAATTTAATAAGCTTGTTTTATTTTAATTCTATAAAATTATAAATTAAAATTAAAAAAAATTTATTAAATTTGGGCAAATAGTTGTTAAAAAAACTTCACTTAAATAAATAACTTGTTCTGTTTATCAGTAAATTGAGCTAAATTTTTTTTAAAACTTTGAAGTTTTCTTGATAATTATCTAACTAAATAGTATAATAAATATTCAATTTGATTAGCTTGAAGCTTCCTGAATTATACAACATAAAAAAATTTTTTTAAAATAAATCATACTATGAAAAGTCACATTGTTAATTAGCAATTTATGATTTTATATAGCAAAGTTTTTTAAAAAAACTTTTTTAATATTCTTTAACTTCTTATACATCTATAAGTGAAAAAGATTAATATCACTAAAAACTTAGCTTAGAAGACAATATCATTAGTATTTATTATTATATTAGCTATACTTAAGTTCTAAATTTTGAAGACAGTTAATAAAAAGAGATTATACTACATATAAGATTTAAACTTGAAAACCTTTATATATATTATTTTAACATGTTATTTCAATAATAATAAGTTTATACTAATACTTATATATTATATATTGCTTAATATTATA